CTCGTTCACTAGGCTTGAAAGAAGAAAAAAAGGTCTCTTCGGATAATACAAACTCCAGATATGTATACTCTAGTTTATTACAATCATTAGAACAAGAAAGAATGATATAAGAAAATTCATGTACACCACTACCAAAAATATTATTCGAAATTTGACGAAAGAATAAAATGTTTAACCTAAATTTGATTTTAAAAGGCCTTGACTTCATCCCCGCCTACGTAAAATTCAACCCGTCTTCATTGGAACTGTCTGATAACATTAGAAACAAAATATTTATGTTCTACTACGCAGACGACCAAGAAAACTTTTTATTGCACACAATCTCACTTTTAGAAGCGGAAAAATGGGGGGGGGGGTTAGAAGACCTCGAAAATTGCTACCAACGCATCACATGGATTTACTGCTTTGGCAATTTTCCAGAAATGTTCGCAATCAAAACCAACATTTAAACACAAAAATTTTCCTCTGTTTTCTACTTCCAGCTTAAGGTTCGCGTTCCTCGAAGAATTATGTGTTTGTTCTTCAGGACACATTTCATGATTTTCTCAAAATAATTAGTGCACATGTAGAGACACATTTCTCCTGATTATGTGAAAGTACATTTTAAATTAGGAAAACAGTCCTAGTGCGTTTGCCATACTCAACCAGCCCGAGCCAATATAATTCATCCTAATACCTTTAGGCAGTATAACGTTTGAAAATATTATAAATTTATGATTTATACAAAAATTGGTAATAAATTTTTAATTTATTGCTTAGGTATTCAGTTTTGTTAATACTTTTTTTTACACTAAGTTACAATAAGTTTAAAATGTGCGTTGCAGTTACGGTAAATAGAAGCGGGAATACGAATCCTGTAAATCCTTGTAATGAATCGAAGACTTTTTTTTTTTTTTTTTTTCCATTCGAAGCCTTTTTAAATTTTACCATTCCTTACCCCCTCCCGAAAATAAAAAAAGAAGAAATCCTCCGACGTAGAAATCAATCGAGAAGTATTTAAATGTATCTGTAGCAACAATAATTGAAAAAAAATAATAAACATATTAAAAATAAAAAAACGATAAAATAAAATTTTTTAAAAAATCTGAAATGTTTCAGATTTTTAAATTACGTCCAAAGGGGCGTTTTTTTAACATTTTGTGTGTTATCTTTATTTATTAAATATCATGTTCTTCGCACTTAAACCATAAAATTCAGTTCAACAGCAATACCACATCATAATTTAAAAAGAGTGTATCTTTAGAATTTCCGATACACAGTCTCGCGCACTGGAGATAAAAATTCCATTTCTCGCTCTGAAAGCGTTGAGTTTGTTAACCAAAAATTCGTTAAAGTTTTACAAAATATGAAATAGATAATAAAACAAATTTTAACTTAGGGCTTCCAGATGCCCATAATTGGGTGGAAGATTACGTTATCCAAAATTGGATGGCTCTGGGTACCGTTGTTTTTATCATAATGCGAGAAACATACATACATTTATGCAGATATTCCATTACTTAATTTTTTTTAATATAATGCGGGGCTCTGGTGGCAACTTTTTGAAAAGTCATATGCCATTTATAAGTGATTCGACGCAAAATGCCAAAACGAAATATATAACTCTTCTGGACTCACGCCCTTTGGATTAAAAAAGACAAAATAAAAAGTTGTTTAAATGATCTTACTAAGAAAACTTGACATTAGTATGATGAACTGACAGAAGACTGGGGGGGGGGGGAAATTGCAACACCTAACGTTGTATCGGGATTTCTAAAATTACATTTTACTGTTGATTTATTTGCTGTTGACACGGCAATTCCGCGATTTTACTGTTGAATTTTATGTAACGTACACGCGAAGAAATTGATATTTGATAATAATTGATATTTGAGCTCAGCTAGAACATATAAAACTTTTCTGGTGCGATCTTAAAAACATAATTCTTTCAAGTTTTCTTGAATATTTTTTCAATTTATATTTTTAATTTTATAAAAAGCATTCAAAATGCTTTTCAGATTCATATTTTAAGAAATTTAAGATTCGTCTCACCTTTTAAGTGGCCAACCTAAGCAAAATCTTATCGCACCTAGAATGTGATAAAACAACAAGGTTATGCGATATAATGTCTTTTCTTGAGTTTTTGTTTATCTTTTCAGGCCAAAAATAACATTAGTCTCGAAACGGCATTTTGCGCTGAATCACTATAAACAGTATATCACTTTATAAATTGTTGCTACCAAATATTACCGCCCTGTATTATATTTACAGAAATTGAATAATGCAAAATCTGCATTAATGTATACATATTTCTCGCACTGTGAAAAAACAACGGTACCTAGAGTCATCAAATTTTAAATAATGTAGTCCACAGGCATCTGGAAGCCCTAATTTTCAATTTTGACTTTGTTTTATTACCTATTTCATATTTTGTAAAACTTCATGAATTTTTGACTTAGCAAATTCAACGATTTCAAATCGAGCAGTAACAACATTGGAAGGGGAAAAAATTATCCCAGAGACCTTCCCCCAACCTGTCTATGGCGCGAGACCGTCTTGGCTCTAAGACTATCTAGCGCGCGTGTCTATCGGAAATTCTAAACATATGTTTTTTTAAACATTTTGTGATTTTGCTGCTGAATCGAATTTTATGTGACGTAAGCCCCAGGAACGTGATATTTAATAAATAAAGTAAACACACAAAACTTTAATAATAAAAAAGACAAAATAAAAAAAGTTTTGTGAAGCCATTTTAGTAAGAAAACTGAACACTTATATGATAAACTGAGAAAAGACTGAAAAACGGAAAAATATACGCGAATACGTAAAGTTGTATCCGGAATTCTAAACGTGTACTGCAATGCTTTACAAATTTTTGTAATTTTGCTGTTAAATTGTATACGGCGTAAGTGCGAAGAAAATGATGCTTAATAATAAAGCTAAAACGACAACAACAACAACAAAAAATGTTTATAGAAATGGGTGTAACAGCAAATTTGTAGAGTGCGAGCTCAAAGAGAGCGTAAAAAATCTTAACAAACCCTTTTGGGAGACCATTAAAATCAGAAACCTTTTTTTTTTTTTTTTTAATTAATTGTATCTTTTTAAAATAGTGAGGAGGGAAATTACATGAGATACATCGTTTCTGAAAGAAAAATTTGAATGAACAACACATCATATAAATAGATGTACTAATATTATTATCCTCTATACTTCAATGAAATTAAATGAGTAATTGTAATAGCATTACTTTCACTTACTAATGTACTTTTAAGTACTAAACACATTCAAGTATCTGCATCTTATTTTAACAAACTTCTGACTTATTAACCTAAATCAAAAATTTCTAAAGCTAGTAGGAAAAATACGACAGGGGAAGTAAACAGGGACTAGAGAAGTGATTATGGTATAAGTTGTTATGTAATTTTTTATTACTATTCAAGGTACAGAATGTAAGGAAGAGGAATTTAAACCTTTACCAAGAAATATTTTCACTGATCGTCTATGTGATTCCTATGCCACTGCTATCACATTTTTCTTTGCTACAGTTTCACCAAGATTTGCCATGGTTTTTCGGTCACGGTCATAAGGGATTCATAAGCTCGAATAAAAATCTTGCAATGGAGTAAATTCAATAAATTGCAATTCAATAACAATTTTCGGTTAAATCGCATAGTCATAAGAAATTCAAAATGGAATAAAAATCTTGCAGCGGATGTTAGAAGACATAATCACACGAGATCCATAAAATCGAATTGAAAATTTTGCAATGGATTTTCAATTAGAATGCATGGTCGTAAAAGATTCACAAAATCGAATAAAAATCTTGCATTTAATGGGACTTGTCGTGGATTTTCGATAAGCATGACCATTGGCATTTCAAAATTCGCTTTTTAACTTTCTTCATTAAATCGAATAAAAAATCATGAAACATACTTCTAAATCATAAAATGGAATAACGATCTTGCAATATTTTCGGTTTAAAATACACAGAAGCATAAAATCGAATATAAATTTTGAAATAGGCTTTCGGTTAGAACGCATAACCTTAAAAAAATTCAAAAAATCAACAAAAAAGTCTTTATGAAAAGTAACAATTATATGACAATGCATAATCAAAAATATTAGGCGCTAACATCACAATGATAATCACAAGGAATCTACGACGTGAGAGTTAGGCGGAAGAATATAGTTCCTGAAGTAATTATTAAGTTTTTAGGATTCATGAGGATAAAACATAGTAAATTCATATTCCCGCAACTCAGGGAGTTTCTGTAGTTTGCAAACAGGAATTTCCCTTTCAACGAGGACCACATAAAAACTTTGATTTCTTTTGGACAGAACTTCCCGACTATAATATATAGACACCATTTTTAAATAAAATTCTACACCTTACTTAAAAAAATTTCGTGGCTTGCAATTTCTAGCATCAACATTTACGGAAACAAGGCGTTTTTTTAGTGGCAGAAGTGTTTAACAATTAAAAAAAATTAACAGTTTAAACAATATATTTACATATCTGATTCTGGCAACAGCAGAAGTTGTTGCGAAGTGTTTGTCAATAGCGAGGTGTTAGTTTATTACCGCTGAAAACGAAAGTAAAAACGTTTTCTATTTTAATGATGGAAGATTATATAAAATAATCAATTATTTAATATTTCAATCAGTATTTCTGTTTATTATTAATACACTCAACACTTTATTTATTTATTATATTTACTTATTTTAAGAAAACTGGGTACAACAGTACTACTATTAAGAGAAAGCTGTACTTCACGTTGCCATAAAATTACATTTTAAAAGCTATTTATTCTCAGAATGTTTACCTTTCACAGTTTTGCATCACACGTTAACACTCATTTTCTGGACTACAACGATATTTCTAGTACAATTAATATAATTAGCAGTATGGCATCAATTTTTGCATATGTAATAGAGTATAACAGCATATATTATTCTTACATTAAAGCATTAATTAATAAGCGAAGGAATAATAGAAATTTAAGTAAAACTTTACTTACGAACTTTGACAGCTCTTGCGTTGAGTTTAGACACAACATCCTGACACGAATTTATTTTTTCTCGCAGACGATCTGTTCGGTCGGCCACCAAACGGCACTCGGATCCAATTTCGTCGAAAATTCGATCCGCTATTTTAGCCACCGATGCCAACTGCCTCAAACAATTCACCAAAGATGCATTAGTTACGGTGGGAAATTCTGCAAATTTCGCCTTGTCCGGTGGCAGCGGTTTCCTGCATAGGAACACCGGCTCCACAGCCCACTTACGAAAAGGCATTTTTCAGAATCAAAACTTTACCATCCGTTGCCAGATATTATCCTATCGTCTGCGGGTGTGCGTCGCCGGTCATCATCGGTAATCCAGCGGCATTTTTTGACCTACCGGCGCACCGTACTTTTCTTATCGCTTTACTCCACCATGTGTATTATTTACTGCCCGAGGAGTGAATGAAAGTTTTTGCACCGCGGCGCCTATTGCGAGATACGCTATTGGTCGCTAGGGTTACCACTTCTTTGGCGACAGTTTTTAATCGCCAACCAGGTGAGGCGGGAAAGGTTTTCACTTTATCCGGGATCAAAGAATCTCAAATTAGGGTGTTCTGAGAGCCGTGGAAATCAAGGCCAAGTTCAGGACCCTAAAATTAATAATCATATCATAAAAGAAAGAAACATTTTCCCATAAGATGAGTGCTCTAATCTTTGCTTAATGATAAGCTACAAAGAAAAGCTTTTGCTAAAGGTCAACTCAAACTATTACAAAGGTAACTTTGGTTTGCAATAGTAGTCTTCTGGTCACAAAACTGACAACAAAATTTAATTTCGGATTAAAAAAAAATGGAGGAGCAGAAAGTTACATTTTGTTCTCTTTTCTTTTCCCACCTCACTTTTTTTTTTTTTTTTTTTTTTTTTTTTTTACCCAAAGAAGCAATTTGACCAGAAGGGCTATTAATTTCGGTTTGGCATTTTACGTTGGTTCACTCTCAACAGCTTTTCACTTTTCAAATTGTTGCCACCAAATATCAGAGCCATGTGTGGTTGATTTAATGTGATTAATTTAATGTAACTGATTTAATGTGATGATTGATTTTAATATGATTGATTTAAATATTTAAAGAAATTGCATAATGAAAAAATGGCATAAATGTATGTACGTTTCTCGCAATATGAAAAAAAAAAGCACCTAAAGACATCAAATTTTGAATGACGTAGTCCTCCAACCGAACATGGGCACCTGGAAGCCCGAAATTGGAATTTGTTTTATTATCTACTTAATGTTTTGTAAAACTTTAACGAATTTCTGATTAACAAATTCAACGATTTCAAAGCAAGGAATGGCAACACTGTACGGGAGAGGAAAAAATTTATATATATATATATGTCCCAGTGCACCAGACCGTGTAGTGGAAATTGTAAAGATATGCTCTTTTTAAATTATTTTATGATATTGCTGTTGAATTGAATTTTATGGTTTAAGTGTGAACATAATACTTAATAAATAAAGGTAACACACAAAACGTTAAAAAAACGCCCGTATAAGCGAAATGTAAAATCAGATTTTATTTTATTTTCTTAACGTTCCATTTATGGAAGCTTTTAAAATTTTTCATGGAGGTTTTGCTGTTAAGATTTGAAATTAATACATTTTGTTATCGTATAAACGAAAATGCTCTTAATGGTTTACTTTCAGATTTCAGTTAAAGTTTTGGTTCGTTTTATTAGACCAAAAGGGCTGTTAATCTTAAAATACACTTTTCATTCCAGTCTGTTGCCACTCGAAGAAATGTAGGCTATTAATCATTTTTTCATATTTAATCTGTCTGTTATTTATTAAAAACTAAGCTATTTAAAAGCAAAAGATAATAAACTAATATTAATTAAAACTAGACTATTTAAAAGCAATAGATGCAGTTCTTAAGAATATTATTTTTAAAATTTTTAATGTCATTGATTTAAATAAAAATGCATTTGAATCACGATTTATGTAATTAAAAACATTAAATATTTTTTCTGAATTACTTTACATATTTTTTTCACTTTTTAAACATGCAGAAGATATGTAACGTTCCCATGCGAGTCTAAATGCATATTTATTTACTATAAAATGTTTCATTATTCTACCTGGGCCCTGTCTATCGACAATCTCTACTGGTAACCCGTATTAAACTTTAAAAGAACTCTTTTGGTTAATCGTTAAAATGTGAGCCCTTTGAGTTTTTTAAAAAGTTTCATTACTTTTATTTTATTTGTTCATTTATATATTTGTTTATTTAAAAATAAAAAAGTAAATAAATAAATAAATATAAAAAAATTATTTTATTTAGCCCCAAACGGCTTGGAAAAAATCTTTCTTGCGTCAGAAAAAAGTTCATATATGCTCACTAAGTTTGTTTAATGTATTTTTACAAACAAAAAGCTTGTCATGACTAAGAGGGAACTCTCTAAATAAACAGAAAAAAAGCATATGCGTATATCGTAAACTTAATTGATATAATTTAAAGCACATTTAATTTATAATATAGCAGAATAATTCACTTCCTCTCGTAATTATTGTGAATAGTAATAAAAGTAATAAATAATAATAAAAGCTATTTTTTCTAATGTCATACTCTATATATCTTAATACAAAATCCATCCCTCCCCCACTACTATAGTTGAGTGTGAATTTACCTTTAAACTAACTTTTTTCAGCAAGTAAAATAACATTAAAAATCTGAGATGTTTCGGATTTTAAATTACGTCCAAACGGGAGTTTTTTTAACGTTTTGTGTTTTACCTAAATATCATGTTCTACGTACTTAAAATATAAAATTCAGTTCAACAGCAATATCGCAAAATAATTTAAAATTAGCATATCTTTAGAATTTTCGATTTACGCGCTGTATATATATATATATGTGTGTGTGTGTGTGTGTAATAATAAAATTCCATAGTCAAGCATACACTTAAAATTCTAACTGTATGTTCTTTTCATTTTTAATGGCGACAGTCTCTTATTTGAAAGTACGTGGAATTAAATCCACAGCTCCGTAGTCAAGTTGTTTTTCCCGCCTTTTCTACACGTACAGTTTTAGAATGTTCTGGAAATATTTAAAGCGAACTGGATTGGCTGACGAGGCTAACGTCATATCTTGGAAGCTCCGCCTTTCCAGAGGCTATAAAACGACTCGCAAAAAGAATATCGGGGCTTTTTCTTAAATGTCACGATGCAGTAAACTTCATACAAAAAGTTATTAGTAATTCTTTTTATTTACTCCGGATATCTGATTTTTGTAACTGCTATTTCTCCTGAATAATAATAAATGGATCCTGTTTTTTAAACTTATCGTCTGTTTATTTAAGCTACGACTAAAGCTGATACATCACACACACACAAACATATATATATATATATATATAATTTATTTACTAAATAATATTGATTATATTATCTCCTAAGATTAATTATAGTAGAATTATCTGAAAAGAGTTAATCCATACTTAGTAAGTTCTATTTCGAAAGATCTTTTGAAGTAACTTGAATATAAATTGTTAAAAATGTTTAATGGGGACTTGAATTAAATCATGAATAACAAAATTTCAATTGAAAAAGGAATAAATTAAAAGCAAGTAATTAAATTAAATGCAAATAATCATTGCCATTGATCGGAAATTAGTTGACTTTGCAAAGGGAACAAACCAACTCCCGTTCAAAGGAACAATAATTAAGAAATAAATACGAAGGTGTTTCGTCCTTTACTCGAGCAATAATGCGATGCCAATTTTGATGGCTCTAGGTACCGTTGTTTTATCACCATGCGAGAAACATACTTACATTCATGTAGCTTCTTCATTATTTAATTTCTTTAAATATAACACAGGGCAATAAAATTTGGCGGCAACAATTTGAAAAGTGGAACAACGCTTATCGTGAATCGACGCAAAATGCCAAAACGAAATTAATAGTCCTTCTGGGCAAATTGCCCCTTTGAACTAATAATTTGTTTAAATAATATATATTTTTTTAGGTCTGAATTTTTTTAAAAATATATTATAACAATTATCTCTTGCACTTAAAAATTATTAAGCTCAAGATTAAAAATAATTATCAGCCCTAATAGACTGTTCGTCTAGAAATGCCATTTTGCTTTGAATCTCAATGAAAGTCAGAACCAGTTTTCAGATTGCTGCCCCCAAACATAATCGCCCTGTATTATATTTAAAGAAATTAAATAATGAAGAATCTGCATGAATTTATATATGAACATTGCGAAAAAACAACAATATCTAGAGCTTCCAAATTTTGTATGACGTAGTCTTCCACCCGAACATGGGCACCTGGAAGCCCGAATTTTGAATTTGTTTTATTAATTGTTTCGTAGTTTGTAAAGTTTTTACAAATTTTTTATTAATAAACGCAACGATTTTAAAGCGGCAATCGCAACACTGGGGGGGGGGGATATTTATCTCCAACGTACGAGACTCTCTGTGTGAAATTCTAAAGATAAGCTGTTTTTAAATATTTTTTTATTTTGCTGTTTAATCGAGTTTTAGGGGCGTGAGCGCCAAGAAAATGATATTTAATAAATAAAGAAAACACGCAAAATGTTAATAATAAAAATACGAAAAAACGTTTTGCTAATCCGTTTAGTGAGAAAACTGAACATTGAAATCATAAACTGAGAAATGGCCGGAAAAAATAGAAAAATGTATGTCAATGTTGCATTGGGAAATGTAAACGTATACTGCTATGCTGCTTTTAAAATAATTTTGTAATTATGCACTGTATATGGCGTAAGTGCAAGTGCAAAGAAAATGGTGCTTAATAATAAAGCTAAAAAGACATAAAAAAAAAAAAGTCAATATGCGTGAGTCTAACAGCAAACTGCGAACTCAGCGAGAGCGTAAAAAACCTCAACAAACTCTTTTGGGCGACCGTTAAAGTCCGAAACCTTTCACTTTTTTCAAAAAAAATTAATTTTAATACAGAATAATTGTTTATTTCTAAATTCGATTAAGTATGTTTTAACTCTGAAACAACAGTTTTTTTCTGGAAACTGAAAACAAATTTTATAGTGTTGCCATTCTTAAAAATAAATCTTTTCGTAGTTATAAATTTAATTTTACGAACATGATTATGAACCATAAAATAAACAAAAATTGGTTAGATGTTATCTCAGTTAATAATATATCTTAATTTAGAATGCTTGCTTTCTTCGGTAGAGTTTCTTTCGCAAAAAACATTTCAGAACGAAAACGCTCCAAACTGTCTAGAAAGAATTCTATGGAGAGTTATTTACTGTGCAGTTTCGAAATTGAGCCAAAAAAGCGATAACTTAGTCAAACTTGCTTCTGCTTCCAACCTTTTTACCCGTTATGGAGCCTGAGGCGAAAACCACCTGTTGAAGCCTACGGTGATCTATTTAACTTTCCGAGACGCGATTACTAAGTCACTGTG